GGTGTTTGGTGTCTCGGGGGGGGGGGGTTTGTGTGTGCGCATGCGTGTGGGGGTTTTCATTGGTGTGTGTGTTTTTACTGTTTTCTGCGGGTGTGTTCAGTGCGTGTGTTTTCACTGTATGTGTGAATGTACACGTTCTCTGGGGTGTGTTTTCACTGTGTGCTTTCCCTGGCGGTGCGCGTTCCTACTCTACGCACTCAATTCCGTAGTTCCAAGGACGCTGCTGTAGCTGAGGTGTGATAAGCAACGCTTGTAGCCCTGCTCCATGACGTCAGGGCGTGACGTGCAGCCAGCAGTCTCGCACTGAGAGGCCTCGGGCAGGCTGCCCGGAACGCTGAGGCTGACACACGCCCGGAACCTTCAGACGACGCCGCGCCAGGGGGGGAGCCCTTTCGAGAGAGGACTCGCGATCTCGTCACGTGACGCGCGGGCGACGGAAGGCGGAAGTGATGGTGCCACAGCAGCCGTCGGGAGCTAGGGAGCTGTTGTCGTGGCTCCACCGGTAATAAAGGACCGGGCGGATACGGATCCGGGACTCGACGATGGCAGCACGCGCCGGGCTGTGCTCGCTGCTGGCGCTGGCGGTGCTCGCGGGGCTTGGGGCGGCCACGAAGGTGAGCCCCGTGGTGCGGCCGCACCCTGCTGGGGGGGTGGCACCGGCGGGCGGAACAGCAGTTACAGCGAGCGAGCGGGCTGTGCGTGCGTCGTAACCCCCCCTCCAAGCCTGTGCGCGCGTGCGCGTGTGGAACCTGGCGGCAGGGGCCTTTCGCTCTCCGCGGCCGGGGGAGCGGGCAACCGCAGTCCGGGAGCCGCGCGCTGGCGGGGTCACGTGTGGGGGGTGCAGGGCCTCTGCTGCCAGGGCTTAGGAGGCAGCTCCCCCCACACACAAATATACACACATACATGCGTACACATACACAAGTACATGCATGTGCATACACATAACCAAGTACATGTGTGCACACATACATAAATGTACATACAGGTACATGCGCACATGCACATACATGTGTGCACCGGCTTCTGTGGACTGAAGCCAGTTTACTCGCGTTGTGCAAGGACATATGCAAAGTAGCTTATAAGTCGACCCGCACACCTTACGTGCTCCCCCACCTCTCTTCCTTTTTCACTTCTGTCGCTGCCTGCTTGAGAGGCAGACTTGGCACTGGCTGTCCCATTCTGGCATTCAGCTCTCATGTCAGAGACCTGCTGCAGATAGTCCCAAAACTAAGGAGGGTCATGGGAAAATTATGACGATTGCTTGAGCTTCCTGAGCCAATAGGCTTGGTATTGGTGGTCTTGGTCTTTGGCAGACAGACGTTTGTTTGTTTGTTTGTTTGTTTTTTAAATTCTTTTCTGTGTCGAAAGGGTGAAGTGAGCTCTGTTTTTTGTTTGTCAGCCACACTGTTTTGTGACTTCTGTCAGAGAAATGGGATCTTGGTAGATGTCATGTGAATAAGCTGGATTTTGGTAGATGTGTCTCTCTTCTTGTCCCTGCTTATTTTTCAGCTATAAGATGTGAATATTAGGGCTCTGACCTTACTAACTGGGACGATATCATAAATTTCGTAGATTTTCAGGGTCGGAAGGGACCTCAGCAGATCACTGAGTCTGCCCCCCTGCCCTGGGCAGGAAAGAGTGCTGGGGTCAGATGATCTCAGCCAGGTGCTTGTCCAGTCTCTTCTTAAAGACCCCCAAGGCAGGGGAGAGCACTAGCTTCCTTGGACGCCCATTCCAGGCTCTGGTAACCCTTATCAGGAAGAACTTCTTCCTGATGTCTAACCTGAATCTGCTCTGTCAGTGTGTGGCCATTGTTCCTAGTTACTCCAAGGGGCGCCTTGGTAAATGGAGTATCTCCTGTTTCTTGCTGCCCGTCCCCCTGACAAGTTTGTAAACAGCCACCCAATCTCCTCTCAGCCTTCTCTTATGGAGGCCAAAGAGATCTGTATCCCATAACCTCTCCTCATAGGACCTATCCTGCAGGCCCCTAACCATATGAGTGGTTCTCCTCTGGACTCTCAAGCTTTTCCACATCCCTCCTGAAGTGCGGTGCCCAAAACTGGATGCAGTACTCCACCTGTGGTTTTACCAGGGCTGCATAGAGGGGAAGTATTACCTCCCTAGATGCACTTATTAATGCATGATAGACTGTGGTTAGCTCTGTTGATCATTTTATCAGATTGCCGACTCATGTTCATCTTTAAAGCAACTATGACTCCGAGATCCCTTTCTGCTGTTGTGCTACATAGAAAATCCTCCCCCAATCTGTATGTGTATTGGTGATTCCTCCTTCCTAGGTGCGGCACTTTGCACTTATCATTGTTCAACTGCATCCTATTTTGTTCTACCCACTTTTCCAACTTGTCCAAATTCTGCTGAATCCATTCTCTGACCTCCAATGTGTCTGCTTTGCCCCATAATTTAGTGTCATCTGTGAATTTGGACAGTGTGTTCGCTATGCCCTTGTCCAAATCACTGATGAAGATGTTGAACAGCATTGGCCTGAGGACCAAGCCCTGTAGGACACCATTGCCTACACCATTCCAGGTTGATACCAGCCCATCCACTACCACTCTCTGAGTGCATCCCATGAGCCAATTTGCCACCTACCTGACTGTGTAATCATCTGAGTCACAGCCACTCAGTTTTTTTAATGAGAATGGGATGTGATATCAATCAAAGGCTATTTTAAATCCATGTATATGACATCTACCTTGACTCCTGCATCTAAGCAGTTTGTGACCTGGTTGTAAAAAGAAACAAGGTTTGTCAGCCAGGATCTACCTGATGTGAATCCATGCTGATTGCCCTTCAGCATTACTTTCCTGCTGGACTTGCACAAATGTATTCCTTAATCATTTTTTCAAAGGTTTTCTAAGGATAGAGGTGAGACTAACTGGTCTATAGTTACCCAAATCCTTCTTCATCCCCTTTTTGAAAATGGGGACCACATTGGCCCTTTTGCAGTCTGCTGGGACCTGCTCTGAGCACCATGAGTGCTCATTGAGCATCTGTCAGGTATGGGAGGGCAATCAGGCACATGTCTGTCAAGAAAGCTTTTTGCTGCAGAGCTTCTGTACTGCTGTATTTTCAGAATGAAGAAGGGGAGCAGGGGCCTCCAATGTGTGTCCTCTTTTGCCGTGTCTCTGTCTTGTTGCCCAAATTTTACAGTGTCCTGGGTGTGAGCACCTTATTCTCTCTGTGGTTTCATTCTGGTCTCTTCTGGCTTCTGCTGTTTCATTGCTCTAGATTTGTTTTGATTTTCTTTTTATCTGATTAAAATGTGAGTTGGTGCTGTGCTGTTGACTGCTGTCTTGTAGCAGATGAACACTCAAGACATAAATCTCTTTGCTGTCTTTTAATGAGTGTGAATGCTCTTTTATGAGCTGACAGCAAGCACTTCCTGCTTTATTCAGGGATCTTGACGCATAGCATTTTCCTTTAATATTAATTAGACCTTGGACTTTCCTGCAGCAAGGTATAAATATGCAAAATGATTGTTGTCCTCAGCAGGTGAGTAAGCCAGACCAGTCCCTGGTGGTTTTTCTAATGAGCTACAGCCACTTAAGCTTGCTCTTACCTTTACTGACCAAACCAGTGTTGAATCCAGGCTAGATATTTCTCATCCTTGCCTTTATAAACAGCCTCCTGTGCTACACTTAATCGAAAGCTTACTTGAATCAAGTGGGCTAAGTTTCACCGTTGGCTCTTGCTGTCACTTGCTCAAAACAGTTAATCTGATTTGTGATTAAGCCAGCCTCTGAAGGATTTATAAACCTATTGCTGGTCTCTCCAAAAACCTACCACATTGCTGGACTTAAGAAAAGGGAAGACTTGTTTCCTTATTATAGGCTTCCATAACTCCCTTCCCATTTGAATACAACTCCTCCCAGTCCAAAAGAAACTAAAAAACTTTTAAGTGCAATTTCCAGTGTATATCTCTGTACTGTTCATTCTGTTGTACTTTCCTTTCTTCAGTGCTTTCCTTGCATTTACTTGGGCTCTGCTACTTTCTTTTCCTTTTGGTTTGCTTCTTTGTCTTTCTCTTTCTTTTATGTCAGATTCCAGTTGGCTGCCCTTGACTTTGGTCTCTTTGTCCTCTTACCCCCCCCAGTTGAATTAAAACAAGAGGGTCATGTGCTACAGTGCTTCCCCTAATGGTTTCTTGTAAAAGTCTGTCTCTGCCCAGGAAGGACAGTAAGTAATCAGTGAGGAAAGACTTGTCGACCAGGGTACTGTTATCAGGCTCCCTTGTTGACTGTTTCCTCATCCAGCCTTTTTATGCTGTTCACTGTCCAACTCTGCATCATCTTCAATGTGTGATGACAGCTGTACAGAGAATTCAGCTGTGCCATGCTAAAAACCTCTTTAAAAAAACCATGCTATAGAAAATTGAGAACATTTAAAGCAATGCATTTTGTTATTCCAAAGAAATCGTTGTCATGTGAGTAAGTTCCTGCTATAATATTACTTTGATCTGTAAAGTTCTGGCAATTGAGTGCTCTCCTTTAGAACAGCTACTACTTTCTCTGACACTTGTGGGGAAGAGGGGGAGCAGCGATTATGATGATGTAGATACTTTACAAATAGTTGAAGTACATGTATAATGTATATTGTAGCTGCTAAATTTTTGTTGTTTTGTTTTTCTGTTAAGGGCTTTGGTGGTTGAAAACACTTTTTGCTAAGCTTGTTTATTTTTCAGGATTCAGAGGATGTCCGATGTAAATGCATATGTCCTCCTTACAAAGACAGTCGTGGCAATATTTACAACAGAAATGTTACACAGAAAGACTGGTAAGTTTGTGGGGAATTATAAAGGTTTATAAGGTTATGTTTCATTTGGGTTTGTCACCTTTCCAAGATGACATGCATGAGAGATGGTTATCTCTTTTGTAATTGTATGAAGAGAACTGTAGCATTGGGCAAGGCCTCAAGCCATTCTCTCTGCTCTTTTTTTTTTGTTGGGGTGGAGAGGGGGATGGATTAGGGGTAGGGGTGCACTGATAGAGATTTTTGCGGCCCATACCGATAGCCGATTATTAAGGAGGTATATCGGCCGATACTAATCTGATTTCTGCTTACAGCCCAGTAGCTTGGTGAGCTGCCTCCAGCTGGTCAGTCTGATGTTGGGGGCGGGGAAGGGGCATGTGGGGGGCAGATGAAGGCTCTTGCAGTGAGGGAGGCATGGGGCTGGAGCTGGGGCAGGGGCAAACGCTGCCCAGCCAGGGTGGGGTGGGCATGGGATGGAGCTGCAACTCATTTGGGGGGTGGGGGTGGGAATGGCTCCTCCGGCTGCACAGCGCTCATCTGGGAGCCACTGTACCACCGGCTCATCTGGCACTTGCCTGCTTATCCCGCTGTTCCCACCACTTGTCTGGGAGGGCGTGGTTGGGGGGGGCGTATGCCCCTGGATCTGTGCGGGGCGGGCTGGAGCCAGAGCTGTGCCAAGCTCTTCCTGGCGGGGTGGGGCTGCACTGGGAAGAGGCTATGGCAAATTTGGAGTTTCCTCTTTGAAATCTCTGGGTTTGTCTTGTAAATAATGTATAGGTGTTTTCCGACATAACAGTGCTAATATTGTGCAACCCCCCATAGCGTTCTTAAAAGCGTCTCCCTGGTTGAGAATCACTGGAATGGATTGTAATTATTTGGCTTTGAGAAGGATTCTTCAATTAATGAGTGTCCTGCTATGTCAAATTCCTGATCAACTGTTTTTTAATGGAATTTAGCTAGAGGGTGCATTCGTGTGCATTAAAGTTGGGAATGTTAGTGGTGTATATTTAGCCTTCTATTCAGCAATAAAACTTGCTTGTAGATGCAGAACAGTATGATATACAGCATCCATTTAGTATTAGTTCAGTTACTTATGTGACACAGAGGAGCTAGATCAATTTTTAGCATCTCTAAATTATTCACCACATAATGGCTGCTTACAACTGGTTTATTCGCTCGCAAAGTCTGATGTTAATGTTTAATATGGTGAGCATCTTGGGTATAATAATGAGCCTACAATTCAAGAGTCTTGTTGGTTCTTTCCCTGAAATTATTTTTGGTGCTTCAGACACTGGAACTAATCACGCAGGAGCTTGTATGTATAAGTTGAGGATGCAGGAACCTTACTAAAAGTGTTTGCCATGTGGTGAATTTGGGTCCATAGCTGTTGTGGACCATTTCAGCTCTGACTGAATAATGCATTAAACTGCGTGTCTGGTACAAAGGGTAACTATTGCTGAGCCACTCTGTAATATGAACCACAATGTGATTGGACTTGACAGTCTTGTAAGAGGGGAGAAAACAGAAAGAGAGCTACCATTGTAGCTTTTAACTTTAAGATGGGGGAACTAGAAAGAAGTTAAAAGTGGCACCAAAGAAGGTTAAAAACTTGCAACCAGCATGGAAGCTGCTTAAGAACACCATATTGAAGACACAAAGTAACTGCCTATTACAAATAATTTTTTTTTTAAAGGAGGGAGGAACGTAGATCACATGGTCAAATGACACTAAGAAAAGGAAAAAAATACTCATTTAAAAAGTGAAAGTCAAATCTAGCAGGTCAAATGTAAAAGTGCAATAATACAAGCTAAAAAAGAATTTGAGGAGGAATTTACTAGAGACATAAAGCATAACAATAAAAAAGTTTTAAAGTATGTTAGAAGCGGAAGGTTGCTTGGGAATCAGTTGGGCCACTGGATGATCAGGTTGTAAAAAGAGTACTAAAGGGGGCAAGGCTATTACTGAGGACCTCAGTGAGTGCTTTGCATCATTCTTTACTCTTGTTAAGGAGATTTCCTTATCGGAACCAATCCTTCTAGAGCACATCAACAGAACTGACCCAAAAAAACACTTTTCTGCATGCGGTTAAATGAGAATTTCTGGGGAGAAATCAGCATGGCTTTTCAAAAGGGAGATCATGCCTCATCAGGCTATTAGAATCTTTTGAGGATGTCAACCAGAATGTGGATCGGAGTGATATAGTGTATCTGGACTTCAAAAAGCCTTTGACAATGTCTTGCATCAAAGGCTCAGTGGAATTTGGGTTGCCATGAGATTAGTGCTTGTGGATCAGAATTTGATGTAAGGATAGAAAAGAAAGAGTAGGTATAAAGGGTCAGTTTTTAAAATGGAAACAAGTAAACAGTGGGGTGCCCTGAGTATCTGTATTGGGATCCATGGTTTTTAATATAACAATGTGGGGAGGAGGGTTGGTAGTAATGTGACCAAGTTTACAAATGACACAAAATTATTCAGAGTAATAAAGAGCAATGCAGTCTGCAAAGAACTACAGAAGTATCTTGCAAAACTGAACTAATGGGCAACAGAATTGCAGATTAAATGTCATGTTTATAAGTGGGAAGTGATGCATATGGAAAAAATAACCCAAATTATACATACACAGGGATAGGTTCTACATATTAATTGTTATCTCACAGGAAGATTTCTTGGAGTCATTTTAGACAGTTTGCCAAAAACATAAGTTCAGTGTTCAGCAGCAGTCAAAAAGACTAATTAAAATATTAGAGATTATTAAAAAGAGAATTGTAAGCAATGCAATGGTATGGTAAAGGCTTACAAAAATATTCAGTGCTGCAGTGAAATAGGGATTTACCTGTCACGCTACTAGAACTAGAGTACATGAAATGAAACTATTAGGGAGTGGGCTTAAAACCAACAAAAGGAAGTTCTTTTTCACACAGCATATAATAAACTTGTGGAACACATTGCCACACATGTAAAGGCTGATGGTTCTAATCCATTTCAAAGGGGAATTGGAAAGATTCGTGGAGGAAAGATCTAGCAGTAGGTATTGAATTACCGTAGCAAGATGCAGCCTTTGAATCAGAAGTTCCTAAACCTGTGAATATGGGAAGCTGCAACAGGAGTGGAACAGGGCCAGGAAAATTCTGGACATACCCTGTTCACCCTCTCCCTCGGCATCCTCTCTGTCACAGACAGGATGCTGGTCTACATGGACCTATGGTCAGACTCAGTAAATGGCAGTTCTTGTGTTCTCGTGAGACTAAGTAGAAGTGTT